AATATAACAATATGCTATTTACAAGAAACACACTTAACTCATAAAGAAATTTATAGACTGAAAGTCAAATGATAAAAAACAGTACTACATGCCCCAGAACCTCAGAAAAAAGCAGGGGTAGCAGTCTGGCTCTCAGACAGTATCAACTTCAAACCAAGAATAATCAAATGACATAAAGAAGGCCACTATATACTGGTTAGGGGAAAAATTCAAGAGGAAGAGGTAACACTCATAAATATGTATGCACCAAACATGGGTCACCCAACTATATAAGACAATATTAATGGACATGAAAAATCTAATATCAAATACCACAGTCTTACCAAGAGATGTTAACACACCCTTATCCCAAAAAAACAAGACAAGCAGACAAAAAATAAGCAAAGTAGAAGAACTGAACACGAGCCTGGAACAAATGGACTTAGTGGACATATACAGAGTGTTTCACTTCATGACAGCTGAATACAAATTTTTTTTCAGCTGCACATGGGTCATTTTATACAACAGACCCCATACTAGTCCATAGATCATGCTTTATTATATTCAAGAAAACAGAAATTATCCCATGCATATTATCTGACTACAGTGCTATGAAACTGGAAATAAATGACAAAACAAACCAGAAAAACACCCTAAAAACATGGAAATTAAACAACACCCTACTCAGCAAAGAATGACTCAGAAGTGAAATTAAACAAGAAATACAACGATATTTACAATTTAATAAAAATGCAAGAACAACTTATTGGAATTTATGGGATGCAATGAAAGCAGCTCCCAGAGGGAAATTTATAGCTGTGAACTCACACATTAGGAAAACAGAATGAGAACAAATAAACACCCTAATATTGTATCTCCAACATCTAGAAAATGAAGAGGAAACCAAAGCCAAAGCCCAAAGACGGGAAGATATCATAAAGATTAGAGTAGAAATTAATTCAATTAAGGGGCCTGGGAGATGGCTCAGCAGAATATGTGCTTCCCTGGCAAGCGCAAGGGCCTGAGTTCAATCCCCAGTTCTGAGAAAAAAAAAAAAAAGAAAGAAATTAATTCAATTTAGATGAAGAAAACAGTTCAAAAAATTAATGAA